CAATACTTTTCGATGTCATGACCGATTCTTAACCATACAGCGATTACACGAACATGGCCATTCCACGACCTGACGCACTGACCTTCGTAGCCTGAAGCTGTTTCTTCTTTTGTTTCTTCATCCGCTCTAACTTCTTATCCAACTGCCATAAACAGTTGAAAACAATGAGCATGTTTGAAAAAAGCATTGTTCATTTGGAAACAGAAAAAATGTGGCGTATTTCCTCTAGGAGAACTAAAGGAAAAAGGTAAAAGAGCCGACCCTTTCACGGCGGGTTGGTGTAGTTGCTTTATTGTGGGCTCTAACTTTGTTGACGTTAATCCGAGGGGGTGGAATAACTATGTAATCCGGGTCTGTTGGTTGTGGTCTTACGGCACGTTTTGGAGATGACGATTGACTAGGCTTATGTACCCTGTGGTCAGTGGAAAAAAAGCAAATAAACAAACATGGCTTAAGATGATCAAGCAGATGCAATTAGGCAAACAGACGATGAAGTAAGAAATTTCGCCACATCTTACCGTAAGAAGTCATCTGAATCGCTATCAGCATGTATGGACAAAGATTGACTAGACTTGTTTCCCATTAGGTACGTTTTTAAGGAATTTTAGAACACATAGTTGAGATGATTTATCAGAGGCAATTTAAGCAGACATATAACATAGTAAGAAATTTCATCGCCTCTTACCGTGAGAGGTCGCCAGAATCGTGATGATCATGTCTAGATGAAGACTGACTAGACTTGTGTCCCCTGTGGTAAGTGAAAAAGAAAATGATATTGTGCATCAAGAAATGTCCTTTGTAAACTAGACACGGTGAGGTGGAAAAAAAAAAGAAAAAAAGAAATATGAGATGATCAAGCAAAGGCAATTAAGCAAACATATAATTTAGTAAGAAATTTTGTTACACCATACCTCAAGAAGTTGTCTAAATCAAGATCACTGTGTCTAGATGAAGATTGGCCAGACTTGTTCCTCCTATGGTAAGTATTAAAAAAAAAAAAAAGAGGTATATCAAGTAATTCTCTAGTCAAATGGAAATGGTGAGGGTCAAAACATATTGCTGAGATGCTCAAGCAGACGCAAAACTGTAGGAAGAAATTTTGTCATATCTTACCGTGGGAAGTCGTCTGAATCACGATCACCATGTCTAAACGAAGATTGGCCAGAATTGTGTCTCCTGTGGTAAATTAAAAAAGGTTAACAAAAACTGGATCAAGTAATGTTCCTGGTCCACTGGAAATGGTGAGGTGGAAAAAAAAAAAAAAACAAAAAACAAAGCTGCGATGCTCAAGCCGAGGAAAACAGATAATGTAGTAAGAAAATTCCGCGGCATCTTACCTTGAGGAGTCGTCTGAATTGCAATCGCCATGTCTAGATGAAGATTGAACAGAATGGTGTCTCCTGTGCTAAGTGAAAAAAGAATAAAAAATGTATATCAAGTAATGTCCCTGGTCAACTGGAAATGGTGAGGTGCAAAAAATAAAACACAGCTGAGATGCTAAAGAAGAGGAAAACATATAATGTAGTAAAAAATTTTGCCTCATCTTACCGTGAGGACTTGTCTGAATCGCGATTATAATTTCTAGATTTCACTACAGCACTTTTGCTAGGTGGCCTAAAATGATAAAAATGAAGCAAATAAGAAATTTTAAATAGGTCAAAAGCAAAATGATTTTGTACTCGTGTGGAAGAAGCGTCTAAAATGATACATTTTCACCGATGAACTTTGTAGTAGAATTCTCTCAGGAAGACCTCTTCTCCTGCCCACAATGTCCATCCTCTTGTTGAAAAGTTGTCGACTCTGCACGAATCATCTCCAGAAAGAGAAGACAATGTCAGGGCCTTCATAGGTTCATCTGGAGGAGCATCTTAAGATTAAAAAAAAAATCACATGACATTACCCATATATCGACCAATTCTTTGGCAAGTTTTTTGTTGGAAGTTGTTTCCTCGTCACATTTAGATAGAAACTCAATGGCCTGCAGGCACAAAGCAGAGCGAGATTAGCCCGAATTTGTTGCTTCTATCATCAGGCTACGTGATACTAATATGCAATTGTTGGCTTGTAAGATAAACCAAACCTTTCCGAGACCACTCTTCTTCATCTGTTCTCTTCTCTCCTCCTGCCGCAGGTCGATTGGAAACTGCAAACAAGACCAAATATCAAGCTCTACCATAGACATCGTCGACAACATTAGTACTTAACTTAAATTACAAGAAAAGAAAAGCTTTACGATACATCGATCAAAATCTTCAAAATTGCTTCGCGGATAGCTCTATTCAGTAAGCTTCCATCTGGAAGGGGTTCGAGCCAAGTTCTTAGTAGATTCAGTATTCCATGATCTAAAAACTTTTGTTGAAGACGCTTCCTGTGCCAAAAGCAGTTCAATGTTTAGTATCGAAAAGTGCTTAGTTTCTGTGTAAATAATTAATGGGAAGAAAACAGAATAAATAAAAAATAAAAAAAAAACACAGCATACTTTGATAGAGCCTCAGTTAGAAGCGGCAATGATTTGAGTTTATAAATGGCAGGTTCCCCTTCTCTATTAAGTTCTGCATCTTCTTCAGCTGCAAGCTCGAGCTTGGCCATGGCATTCTCAAGTCGAAATGCTATTTCTGAAGGAACTCTCTCTACTTTCTTCTTTTTCTTTCCAGACCTGAAGAGCTCCTCAACTTCATTATCTTCTTCTCCCTCTTTGGCCTGATAACATTGAAATGATGAACTAAAAAGAAAAAAAAAATCGAATTCGAAGGTTTAAGGAAGGTTTTTGCCCTGCAACATCATAAGCATCCAAGGAAGGCCAAAGCTTAATTTTTCACTGTCTTAGTGCTCTCTCTACCATCCTAATGCATTACAAAAGAATATAAATAACACTAAAGTTCATTAATGAACCAAAAGAACAGTTGGACCACATGCGAAAAAATTGGATGCCAAGATATTGACTATTGCAGTAATATATATATATATATATGTATATATATGTATATACATATATGTATGTTTGTATGTATGTGTATATATATATATATAT